GGATGAAAAAATCAACAGAAATGGGACAATTATGACAAGTCCCCCTAAGATAAATATTGCCATTTCATTTATCTGAATGTCAGAGCAAGCCAACTTCAGCAGAGCTGACATGTCACAGAAAAAGTGAGGGATCAAATTATCAGCACAGAAAGACAACCTCGCCATGAGCAGGGTGTGCAACAGAGAGATAAACACAGTCAGCACCCAGGACAACACCACCAGGGAGAGACAGAGCCTAGGACTCATGATAGTGGTGTAGTGCAGGGGGAAGCAGATGGCCACGTAGCGGTCATAGGCCATGGCCACAAGGAGGAAGCTCTCCAGGTCTGCAAAAAGCAGGAAGAAGTACATTTGGGTCAGGCAGCCTGCATAGGAGATAGATGGGTCTTGGCTCTGCATATTCTTCAACAGCTTGGGAACAGTCACAGAAGAGAAGCAGAGGTCAGAGAAGGACAAATTGCTGAGTAACAAATACATGGGCGTGTGAAGGTGGGAGTCCAGCCGAATGAGTATGATGATGAGGAGGTTCCCCAGGACAGTGGTAAGATACATGGCCAGGAACAGGGCATAGACCAATCCTTGCTGATCTGGCTCAAGAGGCAAACCCTGGAGGAGGAACTCTGAGATGGCAGTTGTATTTATTCTTTCCATGTTGGTTTTATTTTACCTTTTTAAAATTAAGAATAATTTGTATGAAAGTATGAGCATATATACACAGGCAAGTATACATACATACACACTACAGAATATTCAGAAATACAATTATTTCCTCTTGTTCAGAGAGGGCAGCAGGAGGGCAACCAAATGAGCACTCTTTAGTGGAGGTGCATAAAAGCATTGGAAACCATGAAACACATGGTGAAAAACACCCATTCCAAGGAAATTAAACATGATTTTCAAACTCTCTCAATGTGCAAATCTCAGAAGGAAACACATAGGATCATTTTTGAGATATTAATAAAGCATTGGAAACCATGAAACACATGGTGAAAAACACCCATTCCAAGGAAATTAAACATGATTTTCAAACTCTCTCAATGTGCAAATCTCAGAAGGAAACACATAGGATCATTTTTGAGATATTAATCTTTGAAGATTTTGTTTCCTCACTTTCCACTTTCACTTCCCCTCATCCCAGTAGGTAGCTCTATATTAAGTGCCTTGGGATAGAGATGCAGCAGGAAAGCAAACTAGTTCACAGGTTTTCCCAGATTTTACTTCCAAAACCCAAGCCCCAGAAAGAGAACAGAATTTTTGAATTTACTGGTATAAGGACAAAAAAAAAAATGTCTTGGCCAGAACTGGAAGCTTCTATTTGGCAAATTTGAGAGATTTTCTTGAGAAAGAGTGAGAGAATGGTCAGTGCATCCCAAGAACAGGAGGAGTTGGGTGACATCACTAAGAAGGCCTAAGGTAAGATATAAGCATTGATTCAGAGGAAATTAATACTTTTTAAAAAATATATGATACTATAAATATGAATAATTT